CGGCAAGGCATTCACCTCCATAAAGCCACTGAGCTGGGCAAGGCTGGAAGCCAAAGAACGTGGGATGCTCCTGCCTCCAGCTCCCTGGCTCATCCCTGCATCCTTGCAGGCATTTCCCTCCACTTTCCAGGACTGACTGGAGAGAGGATCCAGCCATGGCAGAGGCTCAGTGCCCGGCGTGCCGCCATCCCCACAACTGGTGAGGTGGTCAGGTAGAGAGCTTGGCAGCGCCGTGCTGTGCCGTGCAGCACAGGACCACGTCCAGCACCGAAGGCAGAGCAGCTACCACTGCTCCCTGTGCTCCTAGTGCCCTCCTGAGCTATGAGTAATGCTGGAGGGGGATGAAATCCCGAGCCCGGCAGGTCTAAGTCTTGGAAATTGGACCTGGGCTTTGCAGAGCCTTCTCCCCACCTCAGCATCCTCTCCTCCCCATCTGCCGCTCTGTCAGGCATGCAGGCCACCTGAGTGCAGCCCCCGTCCTCCCACGATGTCCCCTTTAGGTGGGGACGAGGCCCTCCCTGCTGCAGGCCAGGGTGGTCCCCTGGTTCTTTCCTGTGGGTCCCGGGACCCGGGGTGCTGGGTACCCAGGGGAGCCGGCCAAGGACAGGTTGCCAAAGGGGGAAAAAAAAAGAGAAATGACTCAATCAATTAACCAGATTAAAAAAGTGACTTCACGTCCCCAAAATAGCGTTTCGCCAATATTTTAATGTGCTTATTAATAATCTGCTCGCGCTCTGATTAGCAGCGAGGTAATAAGGGATCAGCTGTAACCTAAATTTAACTCTCCCTAATGGATGATGGCCCCGAGAACCAAAAAGAAAAAAGAGAGGCTCCTATCCATCAGGCTGGGGTCGGTGGCATCCGAGGGGCCTGGCAGCTGCTGCCCAGTTGTGCCCATGGACCGTGACCTCCGCAGTGACCCAGCGGGTCCTCCGGCACATGTTGGGGAGCAGTGAAACCCCGTTGCATCCTGGCACCCTGCCCTGCCAGCAGTGCCAGGCAAGGAGCACCCGTCCTGCGTCTGCCGGGCCGGGCACAGCCTGGCCGTGGTTCACTGCATGGTGCTTGGGTGCATGGTCCTCTCCCAAAGAGAAGGGACCATGGGGGATGAGGGAATCGCCATTCCATGCCCATCCACTCCCTTCATGAAGTGGGGACAGTGCTGGGAGCCGCCAAGTGACATCCAGATGGCTCTGGGTCTTGGCCGCCGCGTGCCCCGGCTGAGCGCGCTGCGTGCGCAGAGCCGCTTCCCGGGCAGGAGCCCGCTCCAGGGCACTGCTATTTATACGCAGCGGGTGGTTGGCGGGGCGGTTAATTTTAGCTGCTGACAG